GAACACCTGATGTTTTAAACAGTGAGCTTCCAAAGGAAAGAACAGAGATTTATTCTTTTGTGCTTTGTAGTGGGCCATATCCAATGTCAAAAGCTGATGTGCATTATTTTCCATAACATCACTGAAAAGCTATCAAAAGTGACAACTGAGAATTTCAAGCAAATATTGCATTTTGTTAACATGAATCCAAAAGCTATATACTGTATAAATATCTTTGCATTGAACAGCATGGGGAATAGCTAAGCAAGAAAGTACCCATAAAAGCATATATCACATGGATTCTGGAAATGCATAAAGAAATGTTATGGTACATGAAGAGAACATTAGAGCAATGGAAACTGAATGACTTGAAAAGCAATTTAATTATTTCCAATAATACTACCACAAGATAATACTTTAACCGAGGAAGATACTGCTAACCCCAGGGTGCTAAAAGCTCTTGTTCAAATACAGTAGATCTGAATGGGGCTATTTCAGAACCAGCAAAATTCCAGCTAACTGTGTTGGTTTGGGAACGCTTGGTTTTTAATAAAATATATTTTATGGGAGACTTGGTATGCTGTTTGCTCGCATGTGTTTTATGAGTGAATAAATGTATTAGGATTATTTTTTTCCTTTTTTTTTTTAATTTATGAAGATGAACAAAAGCAACAAACATTAAGTTTTGAAGGGAGTTTAGAGAAGGGAGTGTATGAAACTTTCTGTCCAGGTATACTTCTACGCACAGTACCATGACGGACAGCAATGGAACAGTGGTTGTGTCTTGCAGTAGACTGTATTACTTGCAGTAATGTAGCAATACTGAGTTTGTATGCCATGAGTAGGCCACAATTTTTTTTTTTTTGATCTGGTTGAAAAAAATGACCAATCACTGAATTGATTTTCATTTTAATGAAGATTTACTTTGCTCTGCAATATTTATTACTGCCGAAAACAGAGAGCTCTGGATTCCAGAAGGTGCCCAACTGAAAGTAGCTTCAGCATAAGTAGCTAAAGTAAACTTGTAGGTGTTAAAGCACACAAACTACAGCAACTTAGAACAGCCTATCATTTTACATAAATATTATCTCAAAAGAAATGTCTTGTCCCGTGAAAGCCCTCAATTTACTTCATAACCAAGTTTATTTCAATACACTCCACTTACGTATTTTTTTCTCTCACAAATTTGATTGAGTTTTCACAGACCCCTGTTGGGCACTTAGATGAATACTTACAGATGGCTGAAATCAATTTTGTTCTAGAATTTGAAAAAAAAAATAACCTGCTTAGCAGTTGAACTGTACTTCTCCCAATAACTCAATCACTGAACTGAAGTATTTGGCTGTTGGGTCAAGCATGTGGATGCCTTCCAATAAAAAAGATCAAATTAAAATATTCTCTATTGACTTTAAATTTTGTGAATTATGCAATATTTTAATCTTGCGACATTGCTCCTATTTATTATTCGAGCATAACATATTTCATTGATCTGAATGTGAACAGTCATATATTAAATGTACTGTTACAAGTAAACTGCAAGTTTTCCCAAGAGAAACTCTTCAGTTTCTATGTCTTAGTCTAAGCAGTAATTTTTTTCTTATTTTAATTATGTTATGCTAATTGTGGCCCCAATCATACAAAGGCTTAAGTACAATGGTAGGGTTACTCTCAGAATGTAAAGTTAAACACATGCATATTTTTTTTTCAATAGTGGGGTCCATGCTGCTACATTAATATTAACATTTTAATCTATATTGGAGGATTTACTTGATTCCAAGAAGAGGAAGAAGAAGAAAGCTTTTACAAATGTCTAATTTCAAAGGCAAATGCTGCATCACGGAGTGGCTGAACTATGGCAGCAGCAGAAGGGGCTTTTATGTGATAGTTCTGAAAATAGTATTTCTTTTGAAAAAAATACTGAACAAGCAACAGTTTGGCAGAGTTCGCCATCCTCAGGGATCCAAACTCCTATGCTCTTGACTAGAAAATATTGCAGTCTCTAAACTGATTTTTTTTCAGGTACCCACAAAATGAACATAAGGCTGTGCTTTAATGAGTCTCATAGAATAAATATGCTTGTGCTGTCTACATTAATTTTTATAGAGGCATGATTTCAGGGGAAAAAGAATGATATTAAATATATTCAACCATCCTATTCAAACAGAAGAGGGAAATAACCCAATTTCTGTGCAGTCTCTATTGCTTTGATGTAGCAAGAGACTGATCTTTCTCAATAACAATGTAATGCTTCTCAATGTGAACTTGGTGTTGCAACAATCATCATTTTCTATACCAACTGCCACTGCATATACTCTCCTTGTTACTACTGCAGTAGTGGTATAATTAAAGTTCTTGAAGACTTCTTTTGAGCTGATTCCTATGCATTAAAATTCCATATGGGTCTGTTTCCCCAATGGGGAAAACTCTGGCACACAGAGTAGTCTCTGTAATCTCCCAGCAACTTCCTACAATATTTACAACTGTGGATTGACAAGACATAGATTTCTGTATGCAAAAATAGACAGTCTTTCTTAGTGGCATTTTTCTTCCTTAATTAAGGCATTTTTAATAGACTGGATCTGTAAAAATGTGATTCCTATGAACTTTTTGGACAATTAAACCAGCAATGTGTATAATTTAATGAGAAAAGATTAGGTTAAACAGTGGCTGGAGAAACTGTAAAAATGATTGTCTTTATGGTTTTTTAACTGTTAGTTTTAGGAGTGGTGAGGGGATATTGTAAATTAAGGGTGAGATCAAAGCCTTTTTAAATCTGAATTGTCCTGGTGATACCTGGCTTTGGGTCATGCTCTCCTTGTTACATTTTCACTGGTGCTACCTTGAGTTTTTAATGTAGGTCATTATTGTTCCCTACATGGGATATTCCCATAGAGGAGATGGGAAAGCTTCATTTACATTCTTCTGTTTAAAGTAGTGATGTACTTTGCCCAGCTACAGAAGTATAAAGGGACGCAGCCTCCCCAAACCTACATGCAATTTTAAGTTTGAGAAGAGCCTGTGCAATTGCAGTGGCTCTCAACCTCTTAGCAGTTTTTCAAGACGCATTTCAGGACATGATCAAGAAAAGCAGGGTAAGCTAATGCTGACAGGGTGAACACTAAGTTATTGGCTATTATCGTACAAGGGAGGGAGGTACAATTCCCTGGGTAGTGTCACATTCTGGGGTGAAATACAGACCAGTGAGGAATTGTCACCTCTTACCCTGTAACCCTGAGTGCCTCACAATGTCTTGCTACTGTAGCCCTCTGCCTGGGATACTGGACTTCCACTTACCCCACAACCCCACCCCCTGCCTTGGTTAACAACTGGTAAGGTGACTCCACACTCTCCTCAGCCCCGAATTTTTCCCCAAAACATGTGTTCTGAAATGTCCAACCTTGTCATGGAACAACCAGAGGAATGATAAGGTTTGTTGTCCTTTGAAGAGTCAATATACAACAGTTTTTTACGTTAACTGGAGTTACCAAACAGTTCAGTTCAAACACAGCACTGGGTTGGTTTAGATTAAAAATAAAGCAAGTTTATTTAATTCCAAAGAGATGAATATTAAGTGAGTACAAGTATAAGGATTAAAGTAAGAAATGGTTACAGGAGAAATAAAGATAAAATGCTTTCTAGCAACTAAAACTTAACAAGCTAGACTTGATTCAAGGTAAAATCCTCACCATGTGCTTTCACCAAGATGGCTGACAGAACCCCTGGGCCAGGATCTATCTCCTCATGTGTCAAAGGGCTTTGTCTTCTTAGGTGAAAGATAAATAACTTGGGGTTTCTTGGCCCCTCTCTTTTATAGTTCAATAAATCTTTGAAATGGATTCTTCTGAAGAATATGTCAGATAAGTCTATTCCCAGCAACTTGAAGGAAGTTTTCTGTTGCTTCTTCCCCTCCTGGAGTTGTCTGCTAAAATGCAAATTATTTTAGTTCCTGCTCCCTCCGGTGCAACTTAATGAGCATTAAAAAATGTCCTCCTCTGTCGTGATAATGTAGGGTTTGTCTCCACCACTTGTTAGCTTGATGGGTCTATTCACACGATATGTAAATACAGTCTCATTGTCTTACAAAGTACTATGGAAGTAACTCCTAGGTGAGGAAACTACATTCCTTTGTCTGAGATAAACTTGTTTAATACCTTTACCTAGTCTAGGGAACCGGGTCTTGAACATATGACAATGACATCCTATAAGAGGAATTCATACATTTACATATAATATTGCTATATACATTTTACCATAATGTTATTAACCTGCAAGTTATTAGTTTTCAAATGATATATCACAAGGCATATTTTGTAGAGGGGTGCTTAGGGCCACGAGTAGTGACCAACTTCCAGCATCCTGCTTGACCCCACAATACAGACATTCAGAGTGGAGCACAATCCCCATGGGAGCTTCCATGGAAGGAGCAGATCTTTGAGTAAGATTGTAGTAATAATAAAGCGTAGAAGCATCCCTTAAGATTTGTTCTTTTCCTCTAATATCTAATAATATATACTGTATTTTTCATATTTTGGAAAGTTGGCCATTACTCTTGTATAAATATGCAAACAATTGATTTTGCACTGCTTATCAGAAGGAAGGACAGAACCCTTAAAGTGCATTGCCTCTTGTCTTTTGTCTTCAAGTAACATTTTTATGCACAGTCTACATCCACATACAAATGTGGTAAGTTATTGTAGCCTAATTAGAGTTAATTTTCTTTGTATATTGAAACCATGTAACAAATTCTGAAGTAATCCTTGGAGGATCTAAAGATAATAAATAATTCCCTTTCAGTTAACACTGAATAGATTCTCAGTGAAGCTATTACAATTTTAATTTGAATCAGGAATGTTATGAATCCAAGAGCACAATATTTTGAATTGTTTCCCCATACAAATGTGCATAAACGTTCAGGAGTTCAAATTGCTTTAGTTGTCCACATTTTGTAATTTTGTTGGGTAATGTAGTTCCACGTTCCATTCATTGCCGCTAATGTTTTAATGGGTTTTTGCTTATTACAGTTTTGGCAGAATTAATTGAAAAGTTTGTGTTGCATCTTTCTGAAAACCCATCAGAATGTTACTTCAGCACTGAAGAATATGAAGGTAAGTTTGCAGGCACTTCATATTTGAATTTAAAAGAAGAATAATATATCCATAGCTTTCTGACTATTAAAAAAGTAGCTAGACATCTTTAATATTCTTTGTTTAACAGTTCATGTATTCATTATTCAAATCATGGGGAACATTTAGTGTCCTTCTGGAACACCACCTGTTTGTTGAAGCATAGTATGACTAATGTTAATGAAATTTTGAACCTTCTTGTAATATATGTACAGTACATAAAGAGAGATACAGAATAAATGATGGTGTGGTATAAAGGTTTTATGGATGCCTGTTTAGGAATTAATTACATAGGTGACTGAGTAATGCTGCCATTCCAAACAAATGCCAGTAAAACCCGTCATGTATTGTTTATAAGTCACACATTTAACCAACAGCTATTTTAGAAATGTCTTAAATAGTTTAATTGCAAGTGAGGGCTGGTTTCTTGTAATGCCAGCCCTCCCTTCTAGTTACTGTGAGTCCATCTACATGTGTCAGGGAACTAAAAATACAATTAACATACTTTTTAAAACTCTAAGAATGACCCAAACTAACTTTCCCGTACATTAAATGCCAAGACTTTATAATTAAATTTTCTCCATACTAGAAGGAAATATTGTGTGTCCTATTGGAAACCTGGTAATCTTCCCATTTTGAATGGTCTTAAGCTCCTTTTTCTATCCCTACTTGTAGACATGCCCCTCGTTGCTCACGGCACACATTCGTGGGAGACCACTCTTTCAAACACCAGTGCCCTTTTATTTCCTTGTATTTTCCCACCTTCACTTATATACAGCTTTATACAGTTCGCTATCAGGCAGGTAGCCCCTTGGGGAACAGCTTGCTCTTACAGCTAGCTGGGAGCAACAGGCCTTCACGCCTCACTTTCCTGTTCCTCTCCTCCTACTTCCTTCCTGCTAGCTTTATAGGCCTTCCCCCATCAAGCTCACAGGTGTCTCTCCTTTAGGGCTTTAATCAGCCACAGCCTGTCAGCTCCAATCTCTTCCCCTTACTGGGAGCTGAGCTAGCAGGCTCTGAGCTAACAGGGGCTGAGTCAGTGCCTTTTGGCCAGCACCATGTTACACTACTAGATCAGAAGATACCTTACCTTAAATCTGTTTCTTGTGCGATGTTGTCCATCTTGAACCTCAGTACAAGTTCATAGGGAGAATTTTGTGAAGGAAGAAAGACTTTTTTTTTTTGGTAAGGGGTTTGTTTTTGTTTAATTGCAGCTCTTGGAAACTACTCAGAAGTTATTAATATTTGAATAAATATTGATGCATATAGATTAGTGAGCAGAGTGCAGGTGAGTTAGTCAAAGATAAAGGATAAATAAAATTTTATCACCTGGCTCTGCAGTTTAACAGGATTTTTATCACCACAAAATATGTAGTATAGCATAAGGGTTAATTGAGAGCTGGTCAGAAAAAATTAAGTAAGACATTTTGTATTAGAATTTGCCAAGTTGTCAAAATCTAAATATGTTGCAGAAATGGTTTGATTTTGCTTAAATTCTGACAGAACCCAGGTAGACTGCCCTGGAGCCAAGGCTCCCTGTATAGCTGGGTGGAGAACAGTTTATCAAAGAATTTTGAAAATTTTTGGTTTTATTCCAAATCAGAGTAAGGACAAATTTAAAGATCTTTAAATCCTCCATGAAATGGAATTACCATTTTCTTCCCAGCTTCATTAATTTTTTGTGAGCTTAGGGTAGTTATTCATGAATGAGTTTTATGAAGTAAAATTTTCAAAAGCGCCTGTGTCCTATTGAAAATGAATCTAGCTTAGCCTCCTAAGAGACTTAGGTACTTCTGAAAATTTTATCATCAGCCCAAATCAATGCAGGTAAAGGAACAGATACTCGGTTAATGTAAATTTCTCTAGGTCCAGTTGGCCCCAAATCTCTTTGCACATCATATCATCCTAAATTCTGTTGGAAAAGTGGGATTCAACCCACTTTCTAGTGATATAAAACTTACATGTATAGCCTTGTAGGGACGCAAGGTATCAGAATTCAGAGTTGTGACATTTGTATGTATAGAAAATCTGGGCCAGGTCTTAATGAGTATGACTACTCTGCAATTAAAAACCTGTGACTGGCCCATGCCAGGTGACTCGGGCTCCCGGGGCTTGGGCTAAGGGGCTGTATAATTGTGGTGTAGAAATGTGGTGTAGAACCCTGCAAGAGGGGAGAGTTCCAGAGCTTGGGCTGCAGTCTGAGCCTGAATATCTACACCGCAATTAAACAGCCCCTTAGCCTGAGCCCCGGAAGCATGAGTTAGCTGGCACGGGCCAGCCGTGGGTTTTTAATTGCAGTGTAGACACACCCAATCTTGCCTGCTCTCACCTTGGGCTGGTAGAAGGAGAGAGGGTTGTTCCACATTTCTGGAGAGAAAGAAGAAATATTTCCTTGATGGATTGATTTTCTTTTTTAAATGACATGCTTTAAAAGCTGCTCAGGAGTTTGGAATGTTAGAATAAATCCAGGGGTTAGTAAGCAAGTGATACAGCTATAAGCATGTGAAAAATTGTACAAGCCTAGCCAATTTATCACTTGTATATTGCCGATATAAATATATTATATTCTTGGATTCCAATCGCAGTTTTAATGATGTATAGAATTATGTAAATTCATGTAGAATTACTGTATGATTTTGTATTACTTTAAACAGAAACGCCAGGACTACAGCATAATTTAATTATCCACTCAAAACCATATATTTTGGGCTTTATTCTCAAAACCCTACAATAAAGCTGTGAATGAAAGAGGTTTGGATAATAGTTACCAGCTTCCTCCTGAGAGAAAAATCCTTCAAGCAGGCACTGCATCCTGGTCCCTCTAAAGTGTGGGAGGCTAGAAAGTGGGATCAGAAGACAAGCCCAATTCTGATCAATTTGTAGATAAGATGGAGTTTCTCCTGCACATGTCAAGTACAGCAGAAAGAGTGAATAGGCAAGGGAAATGTTAGGATGCATGTTAGGCTTGGGAAACACCCAACTTCAATATTCAGTAGGCTATATACTCATTAGCTTCATTACTCAGAGCTGGAAAAAGTAAAAAAGTATGGACACAGCAAGAAAAAAAAACTGACAAAAGCAAAGGCCTCATTTCTGGGTTACCTTGGGTTTTACACTTCCTCTTTCCATGGTAAACAACTCAGGCTGCGTGACAGCCCTTTTCAGAGTTTCCCAGCAGTATTTTAACACAATCATTCTTATAAACAAAGCAAAGTTGGACACACATTCTTGGAACATGACTGAATGTTCAGTTCTCAAAACAAACATTTCAGTATACATTGTGTTGTTCCTTAACATTACTGGTACCAGGCTCTCTGAGAATTCATTATCCGTAAAGCATTAGTTTTTATCAGTCTCTTTTCCACAGTTGTATCTGTGCCATTGTCACAAATAGTGATACCCCGATTTGTATTAGATTTCTTATTCTTGCCCTGTATAAAGTCCTCCACTCCGTCTAGGTCATAAAACAAATATATTTGTTACGATTATGAAGAACATAGTATTAGACAGTATTGTGACATATACAGAAGTTTGAAAGTAACGTGTAACCCTTCTGACAGGTGGAGCCGGCAGCAACCAGGGCCGGGTTCAATATCTAGAGGTTCCTTTTCAACAATACGATACAGAACCAGCTCAACACCCACCCAGTAACCTGGGAAAATTACACACCACCCCTGGGTGCCTCTGAGAGACAATACTTCCCCACTCGCAAGCGTTGAGTGTAGAAAAGAAACTTTAAATTGAAAGGAGTGAAGTCACCTAACATTAATTAGGGAAAATGCCACAAGCATGATTCATAATCATAAAACTGTGAGCAGGACACCCACCCCAGAGTACATGGGGCAGTGTCTTCTGCCTCATGTTCTTGAGTTCTACAGCCAAAAGTTCCTTTTCTGTGCCCCTCACTGCTCCCTCCTCATACCCCATTCACAGTGGCTGTCCTTGGTCTGTGAGGAGCCAGGGCTCAAAGGTGCATCTGTGTGAGTTCACCTCCCACCTGGGGAAGAAGGCACCTTGCTTGCTCCACCATCTGACCATTTGCTGTGGCTGGCTGCCCCGCCAGCTGTGGTTCCTCTCTTCTGGCCACCCCACTAGCTGCAGTTCTTCTCTGCTGGCCGCCTCTGTACTATGACCTCTGCACGTCAGTCTCTTGAGGTTTCACCCAGCTCTCAGTGTTTTGCAGCTCTTAGGCTGGGCAGATACGCTGTCCCACTACAAGTGATTGTCAGCTCTTTTGACATAAATAACAGAAGGCTCCTAATGGAGCCTGTTTAGCTCTATCTTTGAACAGTGGGGAGGAACAGGTAAAATCAGACCGGGGATCCTTAGGGAGAGTCCGCACCTCCTGGCTGGGATACCTGTCCCCACCCCTCTTACTTTCACAGGGGTCTGGCATTAGAACCCCTGGTTTCATGAGGTCCTTTCAGCTGAGGGTGACCCCCTCATTTGGGACAGGTTAAGCACAGTTCTGCTCCCATTTATTTATACAATAAAGACAACAATACTCATAACAACATTTCACTACCCCTGCATTCAGTACTAAAGTGATTTGTAACCCAACACCAGCCAAAGTTGATCACTTTGAGCAACACTGCTCTATCTGCTGAATATCTAGGCAGAGTTGATGTGTTCATGATTTTAAAGTTCTGTGTCTCAAGATCTTTCAGAGCTAGATGTAAGTCCTAGATTCTGTTGGAAAGGTGGGATTCATTCATAAATATAATTTGCTCCTGAAGTCTCTTCCCCCTCCCAGCTAGCTGTCAGGGGAGAACTCATTCAGACCCTGCTTACAAATTAATACACTTAAGGGCAAAAAATAAGCCCTTTTCCCCTCATATGCTATGAAATGAGTAGGGCCAGCCAGAAAGCAATTTTGTTCCTTGAAAGCTTTCAAGGTTTGGAACTTGTTTTTGTTCCAGTGCTGAATGAAATGGGAATCAGTACCTATGCTTCCATGACAAATTTAAATGTTAGGTTCCAGT